AATGGATATTATGTGTGGTGATGTCAGGGGCCACAGTTAATGCCCACCATTCATAATAAGTTGACTACCAAGGGTGAATACTGTTGCGCCAAATGTGAGCTAGTTGTTTGTTGGGAAACCCAGATTCTGGATCTAAACAATAAACTGGCAACACTGCGGAGCATAAAAAAGAAAATGGAAAAGAGTCTGGATCGGATGCATCAGGTTCTCGTGGAGGGGGCTCTGGAGGAGCAGGATCCTGTGGTGTGTAGCTGGGTTACTGTTAGAAGACGGGAAAGAGGGAAGAGTGCAAGAGAGGCAAGCCCTGATTTAATACTCCCCAATATGCCAGATTGCAGGATATTGAGGATATTAATTCAGGGGTGGTATTGCTGGAGCAAGACACTTCCCCTATCTGCAGGGGGAGTGACTGCTCCAGTAAGGATTGGGAGCAGGATGGAGGAACATGAGAGACGGATTTTGGTGGTGGGGGACTCTATTATCAGAAGGACAGACAGGATAATCTGTCATCGGGACCGCGAACGTTGAACAGTCTGTTCCTTACAGGGGGGCTCGTGTTCGGCACATTGCGGAACAGATGGACAGGTTACTGGATGGGGTTGGGCATGACCCAGCTGTTATGGTACACATCGGCACCAATGACAAAATTGGAGGCAAATGGAGTGTCCTAAAATACACTTTCAAAAACTTAGGTGCTAGGTTGAAGAAAAGGACCTCCACGGCAGTATTTTGTGAAATACTGCTGGTGCCAAGAGCCACTCCAGAGAGGCAGAGAGAAATAAGGGAACTGATTACCTGGCTGCGGAACTGGTGTCAGAAAGAGGGCTTTGGGTTCATGGAGAACTGGGCTGACTTCTCATTTGTTTACTGGCTCTATAGCAGAGATGGGCTGCATTTAAATGGGAAAGGTGCAGCGGGAATGGTTAAAAGACTGGAGGAGATTTTAAACTAAAAGAAGGGGGGGGGGAATAAAAAATGGGGATAATAAACATAGAGCAAGTTACTAAAGGGCCATTTAATATAGAGGGCAATAATACAAGGGGGGGGCAGCTCCTCTAAATTGTTTGCTAGAAGCCTGGCAAACAATTAAGGGGAGCATGAACGTATGTTACTCGAAAAGGACTTTGATATAGTGGGAATAACAGAAACTTAGCTAGACAGCTCACATGACTGGACAACTAATGTACAAGGGTACAACCTATACAGGAGGGATAGGGTTGGTAGAAGGGGGGAGGGGTATGCATGTACAGTATGTGAAAAGCAATCTTACCGTGCACATACGAGATAACCTCACGACAGAGAATTGTGATGTGTTGAGTATTTGTGGCTAGAACTGGATAAGACTGATTCTAGTTGTAAACCTATTATGGGTGTGTGTTATAAACCCCCAGACATAAGGGGAGAGGAGGAGGATCACCTACATTCCCAAATAGAAATAGCTGGGAAGAAGGGAAATGTTGTTATAATGGGTGACTTCAATTATCCGGACATTGATTGGTCACATGGAACCGCTGATTGTATAAAGGCTGGCCGTTTTCTAAACCTGTTGCGGGACAATTTCATGGATCAGATGGTTGTTTTCCGGACCAGGAAGAATGCAATTGCAGATCTATTAATCACAAATAATGCGGACCTAGTTGCAGACATACCGATTAGGGATACATTGGGTAATAGTGATCATAGGGTGATTACTTTTAATGTTGGGTACAGAAAAGAGAAGTGTGTTGGTTTAACAAGAACGCTAAATTTCAAAAAGGCCAACTTTGATAAGCTGCGTCATCTAGTGTATGACACTAAATGGGACAAATAATTTCTAACAATGAACACTAATGAGAAGTGGGATTGTTTCAGGAATACATTGCACAATACTATTACCAAGTACATACTGTTGGGTAACAAAAATAAAAGATCGAGAGCTAATCCTGCATGGCTCAATAAACCGGTAAGACAACGCATCAAAGAAAAGAAGCTGGCAGTTAAGAAATATAAGATGGAGAGGACAGCATTTGCATTCCAGAACTACAAGGAATGCAATAAGGTATGTAAACATGAAATCTGGGCAGCTAAAATAGATTACGAAAAGCATATCGCCACAGTCTGTAAGAAGAACCCCAAAAAATTCTTCCAATATATAAACAGTAAAAATTTAAGAAAAGAACAGGTAGGCCCAAAAAAAGATGAGAATGGGAGATTAATCACAAACGACCGGGAGAAGGTTGAGGTATTGAATTAATTTTTCATGTCGGTGTACACTAAAGAAAAAGACGGTTTTAATGGGTTTTATGGAGATAAGAATGTAAGTAGCTTAGTGTGTAAGATACCGCAATGGTTGACGGAAGCCGGGGTTCAACGCAGACTAGAAAAACGTAATGCAAATAAATCGTTAGGACCGGATAACCTGCACCCCAGGGTACTTAAAGAGCTCAGCCATGTTATAGCAAGACCATTATTCCTCATTTTCAAGGACTTCTAAATGACTGGAAGGGTACCAAGTGACTGGAGTAAAGCAACGGTAGTAGCAATATTCAAAAAAGGCTCAGGATGCCAAGCAGGGAACTACAGACCAGTCTCTCTAAAATCAATAGTATGCAAACTATTTGAGGGAATGATAAATTACTATTTGGTGGATTTTGTTCGTGACAAAGGTATAATAAGTGATAATTAGCATGGATTTATGAAGGCCCATTCTTGCCAGACCAACCTACTAACATTCTACAAAGAAGTGAGTAGAGGTCTGGATGGAGGAAAGCCAGTGGATGTGGTATACCTGGATTTTGCAAAAGCATTTGACACAGTACCGCATCAATGGCTAATACACAAACTTAAATCTATGGGCATAGATGACAGTGTGTGTGTACATGGATAGAGAACTGGCTACAGCAATGTGTCCAGAGAGTATTAATAAATGGCTTTTTCACATTGGTCTAAGGTCGAGAGTGTCGTGCCTCAGGGTTCTGTACTAGACCCAATACTGTTTAACCTGTTTATTAATGATATTGGGGAGGGTGTTAATAGCCATGTTTCTGTGTTTGCAGATGATTCTAAAATTAGGAGGGTAATAGACATGGGCTTAGACACTATAACATTACAGGAGGACATGAATAAAATAGGGGAGTGTGCAACTATATGGCAGATGAGGTTTAATACTGAAAAATGTAAAGTAATGCCTTTTGGTGTTAAAAACAGGCAAGCAGAATACACATTAGGGTACTCCACTAGGGAAGTCAGCAATGGGAAAATATTTGGGGGTCATAGTAGACCACAGATTGAATAACAGCATGCAATGCCAGGCTGCGGCAAACAAAGCTAGCAGAGTACTGTTTTGCAATATAAAGGGAATGTACTGTAGAGACAAATATCACACACACAAAAGGTAGTGGGTTTTTTGAAGGTACGAAACCACACTATTGTAATATTCAATATTTTATTTTTACAAAATTTAAAAGGCATTAAAAGATTGCAGAAACATCTGCATCGGAAAATAAATGATTCACAATGTTTTATTGTTTTGGCATAATAAGTAACCTCCCAGGTCTCCCCCATGATTCAGAAGAAAGCTTGATATATCACAGATTAAGTGGATTTTCATGAACAATATTAACACTTAAAGATTATGATTCTGTCACGGGGGCCACGTACCTGAGGTGAGACCGAAGTAGTGGGGAGGCCTCCCTTGCACCTAGGGTCCTTGAAGTCTCTGGAGATGGAAACAGAGACTTGGTGGACACCGAGTGGCACGGGTGCCAGGGGTGCGCAGCACCGTGCAAGCCTTAGTCCGAGATCCGAGCCGAGTTCAAGTCCACTCTGGCAACGAAGAACACAAGGATTAATCAGAAAAATGGTCGAGATCCAAGCCGGGGTCGGTTCCAATCTGGCAGCTGAGTACAAAAGGAGCAAAGAAGTAGAATGGTCAAGGTACAAATCCGAGGTCAATGGCAGGAAGCAATCTGGAGTAGTCAAATAGGTTTTCAGGTCACAACAAGTTCAGACAGATCACACACTAGCACAGGAACATGGGGGGACTGAAGATAATTGCCCGCTATATGCTGACTGCGCAGAGCAGCGTTGCAGCCAGGATGGATCCTGACAATACTGTCAGGATTCACCCAGCTACCTGATTGACAGCTCACTAGAGGCAGAGCCAACTGTGCCCACTCCCTCCCCCGTATGTCCCTCCAGTCAGCACTGCAGCAACAGAGAGGGGAGGGGAATCCCTGCAGGGAGAGATGACTGACAGTGGTATGTGATCATTCAGTTCTCGATCTATAGAGCCGGCATGTGACAGCTGCAGTGTCACACGTCGGCTCTAACTATTGGATGAGCGTATTTCACTCATCCCATAATTCTCCTTTAATAATTATTAAATCATCAGTGCTGTGCCCACAACTGTTAAACTTTTGCCAGACTTGAAGAACATTCAAGTATTAACATATTCTTTACAAGCAATAAATGAGCTTTAAAACAAACTCCCACTGACCTCCATAGCAGCAGGAACTTTGGAGGAATTAATCCTCAAATTTCACAACAGAAGCACTAAAGGTATTCAAACCCTGTCAGCAACTCAGCTGTCCCTACTCCCCCCATCTATTAGTGACTTGGCAGCCTCACAGCCTTCTAATCTCTAATGTAAATAAAAAATAGGTGCTCCGAGAGGGGGAGCTGAGCTTCTAGGAAGTCCATAGCTTGGCAACAGGTTCACTTTAAGATCCGAATTCCAAGCTATGCTCCAAAAGAAGTGATGGGAAATCTTTACAACTGGGACCACAAACAAAGAATGAAAACACGTTTTTAGCAGAGTAGGGAAGAGTTGCAACTTCTGACAAATTTATTGTTCTCCATGTCTTCCTGCCCCAGTGACAACTGTTTCTTGCCCTAGTGTCACAGAGACTGGAAGTGGTGGATACAAAAAATCTAGGCTTTAAATGATTGTTTGGTTGAGATAACCAAATAAAATTTGATATAGCTGCATTATATAACAACTTATCTTTATCGGTTAACAGGTTGCTTGGCTTCTACAAAGGAATACTTCCACCTATCCTGGCAGAGACTCCAAAACGGGCAGTAAAAGTAAGTAACCACTTCCACCGTTTTATGAAGATTTGTAGTGGTTGCTATGGGCGGGTGCTCATTTAAAGATAGATACAGATTTAAAGTGGGAGATATTCTTAAACAACTTCATTCATTAACAAGGCTGCCTAACTTTTAATAGCCAATTAGATGTAAGCATTTATCAGCTCGGTTCTATTAAAAAAAGACCTTACCCACAGAGCTCATCAGTCCATCAGCGAATTCTTTCTAACTTCAAAACTAAAATTGGAATTTTTACTTTCACCTTCATAACAACTAATAATAAGGTCATAGGCATATAGAAGGTCATTTTCTAAGGAGGAAAGAGTGAAGAGAGGATGAGGATAATGGGGAAACAAGACTAATCGAGATAATAAGACAAGGAAAAGGGGGGAAAGATTTAAGTAGAAGATAAGTAAGAAATAGAAGAGGAAAGGAAGAAAAATGAGTACGAAACAAGATATTGATTTTCAATTGCAATCATTTGTATTGAGTTTTAAGTTTAAACAAAATAGGAACTAGAGAATCAGTTACAGAGAATGGAATGGAAACATGAATATGACATTGGATAGCAATAAATGCAGTTACATAAATAATATTCACTATTTTGTGGTTCATGAACCTGAATAAAAAGGGTCTACAACCTCAGTTTCTAAATGAGAGGGCCAAGAAGCCCCCTGGAGAATTTAGAGATATGTCAGCTGAGATAGATATGATGAGGTAATGTAGGGACAGAACACAACAGTGGGTTTATTCATTCCCAGAATTGGCATACATGAAAACAGAATCAAAGAGCAAAAGAGTGACAGAAACTGACAGCAGTTGGTGAAGAATCAGAGGTGGGGAGTTTAGAAATGGGGGAAAGAGAGGAAGGGGAGTGCAGTGCTTGGAGTTTCCATCTCTTCATGATAGGAAAGTCATAAAGCTTTCAGTAGGAAGCATTGGATAATAGCATTGGATCCAGGGGTTCCAATCCCTGAGAAACCTCACATGTGCATCTGTCAACAAAACATATTGCTTTTCACACTTATCTCTACGTACAATGCATCACACAGGAACAGATCCACAGTATCTACATTAAATGTGGTTAAGCCCAAGAAAATGATGTCCCTCTAATTCCACCCAAGATGAATTACTTTAAAGTCATTGCTATTTATGAGTACTGCTTCATTAATGTAAAAAGCCTTGCTGTACCTTTAATCAACACTGCACTTAACTTAAAAAACGTGTCTATTAGTTCAAATGAAACAACTCTTTGTAAAAAAAATGACCGTTAAAATAGTTGACATTGACAATTCTTACACCGTTCATAATCCCCTAGTCTTGCCAACGTTTTCCATGTTAATTTTGTTTTCACTCTGATTGTGCGGTTAGTAGTACTTTTGTTTCCGTATTTGTTCTTTGTTTTGGGATATGAAAATGTAACCCACATGGATTATGTAACCCAAAAGACTTACTGTACACAGGCAGAGTAATGGATTTCGTTCTTTTTTTTTTTTTTTAAGAAAGGGTTAAAAACTAGCAATTGTCAGTTAACAGGGGAATTGACCTCTGACCAAATCATCAGAGACGTTTGTTAAATGAAAAGGAAACTAGAAATTCGTCTCCTGTTCTGTAAAACAAATTCTCTATTTACATGTCATGCAAAGCTTTGCTTTACCTGTGCTATTTACATAACGTTGAAATTACCATGGGAAGCAAATCAGAACTTTTGGCAGCTCTGCAATGAGCACAAGAAGAACTGGAAAATTGACTGCAACCTTCAACTCTTTGTTTGTAATAGAAAATAAATTCCATTAACCATGTATCTTCGAAAATGTCATACCCAACTGCACAATTGTTTTGTGTTACCAGCAGACTAGAACAGGTCGCTTCCTGTCACCTTGCTATATTTAAAGAAAAAAAATACCTCACTGCTGCTGTCTAGATTGCCGATTTTTTTCATTATTGTTGAGGTGGTAGAGATTGCAATCTCTTAAGTTGGCCCTTTAGGTTAACATGTATGATATTTTTTGGAAATTAGAGGACCAAAGAACAATGGGCCTCATATGTAGATAACATTTCTGAGGAATAACATCTCCTGCAGCCCATAGTAAAATATGCCTAAATTCCTGCATACATGGGTTTTTGTTTGCATCAGAGCTGCTTTTCTCCCCATACAAGTCAATGGGATCAAGTGAAAAGCAGCATAGAAACAGGTCAGAAAAATATCAACTGCTAGTCAAATGCACCTGTAAGTGTCAGAGACCACCTGTTATTGTGCATGCGTGTGGTCCCGTTTTCCATACCATTGGAAAATGGGGACATGCGCGTGCACCACGTAACGAAAAAGCGCACCAAATGGCGCACAGGAAGAGAAGCGGTGCCCTAATGGATCACACTATTTAAGCCAAGCCTGCCTGTCTCCGAATTGCTGGATTGTCTTTGAAACGTCAAAACCATTTGACTCCTCCACTCTGAACAATCTAAAAAACCAATCATGTCTGTTTTTGAATCATGTTATTGTAATACTATGTTTATTCATCTAATTATGTATCTCTGATTTGGTTATTTAATAAGTGGAGTGAGTCTCTTAGGAGATATCTGATCAACTGGTTTTCATCAATTCATTTTATCTGAATTGAATATATTTTTAACCCCTTCATGACTGAGGCCCTTTTTTCAATTTTTGCACCCATGTTATATTCCACATTTTAGGCCTGAAAATGACGTAAAACCCCCCAACATTATTAATAAATAATATTTTTTACTCTTCATCACCTTGGTATTGTTATTTGGTACCTTAAAAACCCATCTTTTTCTCTTTATGATTACTACTATTTTTAGGGGTGTGGTACCCTATACTCAGGCCCTGGCCATAAATTTGATTGTTTGAAAGTGCATCTAAAGCCAAAACATTTTTTTAGATATAGTAGGAAATTGATAGAACTCCAGTCAGCTTTTTATTGCTATCTCTGTTACTTTTAGGGAGATATACTCTCTATTTGTCTCCATTGTCACAGGGACTAAAAGTGAGGGAAAATCCAAAATGTTGAGTTATTTGCCCTAGGCTGGCTAAAGTCTTAGAATGGTCCTACAGACAGGTGTTTGGGGGTCTGTGTTAACTGGCATGTAAGAAAGAAATTTGGTTTTAAGGTAAACACGCAATTGGAGAATGGCAGACCTGTATGGACACAGTAAATCTGTTATCTGATAATTTGCTCAGGAGCACATACTTAGTTAGAAGTTATGACCTGCAATACTACAGTGACATACATTATTTTTGGTGCTCCTTGTACAGTCGATGTCCCTTCTATACAGAAGTGATTTAGAACATTCATGTGCACTGCCGAACACTTTCTCTCACGCACCAGATATGAACACAAATCTGGACCCTTCACTGTTAAGTTCTGTATTGTTCTGAGTTGTCCATCTTTGGAGTCCACCACAGGTTCTGGAGAAGGTTTTTGGAAAGAGCAATAACTTTGAAAAAACCTGCTACCAGCCTAAACAATTGCAGGTAAAAGCACAGAAAAAAACAAGTATTTTAAAAGCTTATTTGCAGTGTTTTTCCTTTCCATAAATGATTTTGCAATGTGACTTTAAATGTGCAAGAAAATTTGACTACTCTAGCAGAGTCAATTTCCTAGCACAGCCTCTCCCATCTTTCATGTCATAGCCCTCTCCTATCCTAAGAGTGTCAGATACTGTCTGTGCTGGCCCAGCTTCCCCACTCCTTCCCTCACCTTGCCAGGGGAGAAGTGAAGGAGAATACTGTAAAGTATCACTTTAATCACAGCTCTGAGTCTACTGGGGCTGCTGACATTACATACAAGATGGCGGCTCCCAGTAGCAGTCCCAGGGCTTTTGGATGTTTAGATAGTCACCGAGCAAAATGACAGGAAGAAATAGGAGGAGGGACTACATGACTTGGTGGACATGGGAACAAGAATGGGAGGGGTTCTAGGTCAAGGTTTTTCTTTAAACAAAACAGGTCACTTACCTGATTGGTCGAGTTATAGATGGGACAGGAGGGGCATCGCAGTGATCCGAGAGGGCGGAGAATTTTCCGGGTCAGTTGGGATCCAGCACACGGCAAACGAACTTCACTTCCCTTCACGGTGTTACAGATTCTGTGAAGAAAATGGCAGATTTAGGTGATTTAATGGCACAACTCGCAGCTGCTGCGGCTGAACATGGATCAGACTGGCTGCAAGGCCAGGTTGCCAGCATCCTGCAAGATGTGCAGCAGCCTCCTGCAGAACGGCCCCCACGTGCGAGGAGGTCCAGGCCTCCTGCACGCTTCTCTCCTGAGACCGGATCCAGTTATGGGGCTCTGCGCCGCTTTAGGAGCCCCTCCAGGGACCCTCCAGGTCCACCGCCCAAGCGTGCACCTGCGCTGAGAGGCAGTGGGGCTGGGAGGAATCCTCCCCATCGGCGTAGCCCCAGGGCGAGGGTGACGTCCAGGCATCATGTTGCCTCTCCCACTTCAGCTGTTCAGGAGCTCCCGGCCGCCTCATCTGGCGAGGCTCCGGTCAGTGAGGCGGCTCGGCGTGGGAAAAGATCCGCTGCGGGTGCCGGCCAGGCCTGTGATGCGGCCGGCGGCCCCTCCCCCTTCTCCAGCACTCGGCGAGGGCTGTCTGCCACAGTGCCTGACCCCGCAGCTGCAGTTCTGAGCAGGCGCCGCACGGGGCAGCCTACTACGTCAGGCAGGCCCTCTGGCCCCAGAAGAATTCGCTCTGTGATCGTCGGCGGTTCGGCCGGGACGGCGGCTGCAGGGTGCGCTGCGCCTGGGCAGCCTGGAGGTCGGCAGATGGACGTTGCCAAGCGCGAAGAGGAGAGATCTGAAGGTGAGGTGTCGGCCTCAGAAGACGTGCATCTGGACGGACGGACACAGCAGGCTGCTGGAGCCACGGCTGTTGGGGCGGGCCCTAGTCAGCCCGGTAAGACTTCTTATCCTTATATTTCCATGCCAACTGTTGTGGGGGATTTTGTGCATAGTGTTAGGAGGGGGACACTAG